GCAGCCTGAACTGCATAGCTAAACCTTGTCTCAAAAAAAAAAAAAAAAAAAAAGGACAATGACAACCAGTGATGGTGGCTGGTGACCAAGTGACCTTTGGAATGATCGGGCCAAGAAAGACCTTCCTGACTAGGGGTTTTCCACCTGTGATCTGGAGTTCAAGATCCCCTGGCGAATGTTGAACAGAGAGCAGCAGAGGGGCAGAGGGGTCAACCCTTCAACGCTCAAGAGGCAAGAAGGAGCTCTGGTCCTCAAGGGAGTGGCACAAAGTGACCATGAAGAGGCTCCAGGGTCACATCATGGACCCAACAGCCCAGATGGATTTTTTCAGTGTGACGGGTGGAACCCGACCTGCATGTTAGACAAGCATTCTGCCACTGAACAACCTGGGAGGTGGAATTTTATCTCACCCTGGGAGAGCGTTCTCTCATACATGCAATCAATAAACCTTCCCAGAGCCCTTCCTTTGTGCCAGGCCCTGATTTTTTTTTTTTTCCTTGCAATACTGGGGATTAAACCCAGGGTCTCCCACATACTAAGTGACCAATCTACTATTGAGCTGTAACCCCAGGACTTTTCTAAGTTTTATTTTGAGACAGGGTCTCAGTAGGTTGACCAGACTGACTGACTTCAAAATTCAGGTTCCTCTTGTTTCAGCCTCCTGAGTAGCTGGGAGTACAGGGTTTTTTTTTGTTTTGTTTTGTTTTTGAGTACAGGTTTTTGCTACCATATCTGGCTTATATACGACTTCTTTAGGCCTCCAGAGCTATTCAGAGGTCAGACATGTAAAACTCTAAAGAAAGCAGAGGAGAGTTCTGAGGTTTTAAGGTAGGCAAAGATTTCGTAGACATCCTCCAAAGCCATGATCCATAAGAAAAAATGGAGAAACTGATGTCACCAAAATTAAGAACTTGTCTTAGGAAGACACTGTTAAAAGAATGAAAGGAAGGGCCTGGGTATTTAGCTCAGGGGAACAGTACCTGCCTGGCAAGCACGAGGTTGTGAGTTCGATTCCCAGTACCGGAAAAGAAAAAAAAAAAAAAAAGAATGAAAGGAGCTGGGTGTGGTGGTGCACACCTGTAATCCCAGCACTCAGGAGGCTGAGGCAGGAGGATTATTGTGAGTTCAAAGCCAGCCTGGGCTACAAAATGAGTTTAAGACCAGCCTGAATTGCATAGCAAGACCCTGTCTCAAAAAGACAGGAAAAAAAAAAAAAAAAAAAAAAGGAAAAGAAAAGAAAGAAAAGAAAGGATAAGGTATAGCCTGAGAAAAAATATTTCCAAATCATGTATTTTAGGGCTTGTATCCAAAATGTATAAAGAACCTTCACTGGACTGGCACCATGGAGCAAGCATGTGATCCCAGCTACCTGAGAGGCTGAGGCAGGAGGACCGATAATTGAGCCCAGCCAGGGCAACTTACCCAGACCTTATCTCAAAATAAAAAGGTCTGGGATGTAGCTCACTGATAGAGTGCTTGCCTACTTTGCATGTAGCCCTGGGTTCCATCCTAGTAATGCAAAATGAAGAGAAGGAAGGAAGGAAGGAAGGAAGGAAGGAAGGAAGGAAGGAAGGGAGGGAAGGAGGGAAGGAGGGAGGGAGGGAGGGAAGGAGGAAGAGAGCAAACCCACATGGATACATCCTCCTCTGGGAACACACACGGTGAAGTGGCAGAGCACTGTCAGGGTACCCTTCATCTACAAGGCCGGGTCAGGGAGCAGGGACGGCTTCTCTGGGAGGTCGCAGTTAAACCAAGCCCTGGACGTGACAGGGGAGCCACAGTGGGAGGCTTGTGCCTTGAGCCCCTTTGGAGTAAGGCCGCCCCCAGCCGCCCCTGGCCCTCAACCCCTGTTGCCAGGCACCGAGGAGCCTCTGCGTGGCCGTGTGACTGCAGGAAGCTCACCCTCTCTGTGCAGCTCGGCTTCCTTATCTGCGAAGCGGGGAGCAAGGCCATGCCCAGCTCCCAGGCACAGGTCCCACCCGGCTGGCTCTCCGCCCAAGGGGCTCTCACCTTGGTCCAACAGCACAAATGCCAAGGGCAGAAAAGCAGGCGTCTCAGGAGCCTGGTAGGCTGCCCCCGAGAGGCACCTGGGAGCCTGACCCATGGACTCTGGCTTGTCCCCATAGAGTCAGGCAAGGCTGCAAGATGGGCACTCTCCAGCCTCTGCAAGGGCAGCTCTGGCCTCCAGTCCATGCCAGGGCTGGGGATAGACCAGCCTGGCTCAAGGCCTGGGGTGGGTGGGTCAGTGCCACGCTGTGGGGGGCCGGGACCTCTCTCTGGACACAATGTCCTGGACTGCACCCCAGCTTGGCGGCTGACAAGGAACAGTGGCTGGCAGAGGGCCGACCGGGCGGAGGGGAGTGGCGTGGGCAAAGGGCTTGTCCTTACAGCCTGTCCTGCCACTCCGGGTGGAGAGGGCCAGGAGAGGCAGGAGCCCCGGCACCCTACAGGACCTCGACAGTCTCTCTGCTTCATGCCTTCATCTCCCCATATCAGCAACAACAGCTGTCCTCTGGTCTAAATTCTGCCAGCGTGCAGACTGAAAATGCTGGCACATGCCTGTGATCCCAGCACTCAGGAGGCTGAGGCAGGAGGAGGATTGCTATGAGTTCAAGGTCAGCCTGGGCTACATAGTGAGTTCAGGCTGGCCTTGAGCTCACTTTGTAGCCCAGGCTGGTCTTGAACTCGCAATGGTCCTCCTGCCTCAGCCTCCTGAGTGCTGGGATTACCAGTGTGGGCCACCAAGCCTGGTTGGGGTCAAACTTGTGATCCTCCTGCCTCAGCCTCCCAGAGTGCTAGCTCATGACTCTTACTCTGTAGGTGAGGAAACAATGCTCCAAGAATCAAGGTGACAGGGCTGGGGATGTAGCTCAGTGATACAGTGCCTGCCTGGCAAGTGCAAGGTCTTGAGTTTGATTCCCAGTACAAAAAAAAAAAAAAAAAAGAAGAATCCAAGTGCCACACCTAAAATCCCACTCCTGACACCAGAGTGTTGAGTGGCTCAGCAAGCCCTCGGGAGCGGCCAGGTGGGATGCGGTCACCCGCTCCTTTGCTCACTGGAGAAGTATTTATGGAGGGCAATAAAGTTTGGGCCTCCTGCACAGGGGCCTGGGGCCACACGGAGAACAGGACAGTCAGTCACCCGCAAGGTGTACAGCTCAAGGCAGGGTGACTCCTAGTGTCCTGTTTGTTTTTGTGCAGTGCTGGGGATGGACTCCAGGGCTGTGCTTGCACTAGGTCACTCTGTCACCATGGCTGGAGCAGTCCCTCTGCCCTTTGTAAAAGGACTCTAATTCTCCTCTCATTGTTCGGAGGTAAGGTGAGCACACTGGGAGCCCAGGGGCCGGGGGAGCATCGACATTGGCATTCACGTCCTGCTGGTGGCCTGAGCGGGAAGCAAGGGAAACAGGTGTGACTGTCTGCAACCCGAGTGGTGCCTCCCTCATCCCACAGCCTACTCTTTTCTCTTTTTTTCTTTCTTTACATTTTTTTTGTTTTTGGTTGTTTTGAGACAGGGTTCTCCTCACTATGTAGTCCAGGTCGGCTTTGAATGCACTATGTAGCCCGGGTTGGCCCCAAAGATCCTCCTGCCTCAGCCTCCCCCAAGTGGTAGAATTACAGCTGTGGGCCACTGCACCCACTCCAGAGCCTCCTCTCGGGTGTGTTTAAAACAGGTGACAGAGCCAGGTGTGGTGGCGCACGCCTGCAATCCCAGCCCTTGGGAGGCTGAGGCAAGAGAACTGCTGTGAGCTCAAGGCTAACCTAGGCTACATGGTGAGTTCAAGGCCAGCCTGAACTACATAGTAAGACCGTGTCCAAGGTGGCTGGGAAACCTCTCCCTGCAGGTGCAGCCAGCCCACAAGGCAGGAGGACTACTGGCTCCGGGAGCGAAGGCCAAGGCCCCAGGGAGCTAACTGGCCAGGGGACACTGCCTGGCGGCCAGGGCCCTGCCAGCTCCCACGCAGTGCCAGGACCCTGGGAGTGGGAGGAGAGGGAGCGCTCACAGTTAGGCGTCTCATTGTTCACCAGGCCCTGACAGGGCTGTCCTTCCCGGGACACCAGAAGGAAGGGTCCATTTCCCAGGTGGTTACACTGAGGCTGGGAGAGGCCATCCGCCCAAGGTCGCCCTGAGGCAGGAGAGGAAGCAGCCGCACTGGGCGTCTCTGGAACTTCGGAATTTTAAAGCCACCCTAGGCAGTCGGGGTTCCCCGGGGTTCCAAAAGTCTCAGCCAGAGTGGTTACTTCCGGCTGGTCCGTCTCTGAGCGATAAGAGAAAGGGGTCCCTGCAGGGCCGAACCCGGGGAGGAGGCTGCGCTGGGCTCCCTGCTCAGGCTGGCGGGGTGGTTACGTAACGGGGGCGGGGCGTCCCTGCCCGGGGGCGGGGCGGCTGTGCGGCGCGTGAAGAGGGAGAGTCCCCCCACCCCCGCACCCCCCGCCTTGCGGCCGCCGGCGCTCGGGGCGGTGACACCTGCGTTACAGGGCAGGGCGCCCCAAGCCCAGGCGCAGTCACGCCCCTGCCCTGCCCTGGCTGGGAGCCGGCCTCTCGAGACTCGGGGTCTCCGGGGACGGGGCCCCCTGGCTGTCTCCGCGCCGTTTGGACGCAGGCCGGGCGCCTCGGCTTTGGGACCCGAGGAAAGGGGGCAGGGGGCTGGCGCGGGGCGCATCCTGAGCCACACCCACAAAGACCTTTGCTCTCCTCCCGGCAGCCCCCTGAAGCGGGGTCCGGGCCCGGGAGACCCGGGTGTCGCTGGGGCCGCGGAAGGAAGGGACACGGAAGCAAGACCCGACTTAATGCTGTTTGCAGGCACTAGCGACGCGCGGAGAGACGAATAAAATCCAGGCCTCGCCCTAGAAAGCTGTCGGTGCAGGGAGAGAGGCAGGCAACAAACCTGACAGTCAGTTTTAACCCTGGTCTGATGGCGCAGGGCCGGCTCCGAGCTGAAAGCTGCAGGCTGAATAGGAGTTTTCTGGGCAGATACAACAGGGGTCATTCCAGGCGGCAGAACAGCTTGTTCAGCGGCTCAGGGGCCTGAAATAGCAATTGCTGTAAGGACCTGGGAGCGATGGGGCGAGGCTGAGGCTCAGGACCTGTGGTTCAGAGGAAGGAGGCTGAGAGGGGGTGCGCTGTTGGACTTTGTCCTGGCGGGGGTGTGGGGCAGACAGAGGAGCAGGCTTCTCTCGCCCGCCTGTGTCCTGCACACCCACACCCCCCAGGCTCCACCTTAGCTCTGGACCTGCCTCCCGCACTCCCTCCCATCAGCCCTGATCCCAGCTGGGCCTGATGTGATTGCTCGAGTGGCCAGGAACTACGAAATAAACAATGCTCAGTCCAGCATGGTGGCAGGCCTCTGTAATCCCAGTACTGGGGAGGCTGAGGCAGGAGCATCACCTGGAGTTTGAGGCCAGGTTGGGCTACACAGTGAGTCAAGTTCAGCCTGTATTACACAGCAGATCCTGTCTCAAAAACCAAAACAACAACAAAAAAGTAGTGCTTGTTCTTGCCTCGTTTCTCCTCGAAGGGGTAAGAGGAGCAGGGACCTTGGGCAGCTTGCCTGTTCTGAGCAGCCCATCCAGCCCAAGGCCAGGCATTTGCTCGCTCGGTGTCCCCTGCCTCTGTCCAGTGCGACCCCCCCCCCAGAGGTCCTCCCAGCCATGGCCCGCAGGCTTCCAGAGCCACCCCAGAGGGCTGGCACTGCTGGCCTTTGGCCTGGAGCTGCCCGATCCCAAAGTGAGACCGCAGGCTCCTGACACCTTCCCTGCGCCTCAGTTTCCCTATGCAGAATGGAATGTCCCCACGTTTTGGGGGAGGGTGGCTGGCAGGCCCTCAGCCCCAGAGCAACCTCCTGGGGACGGAAAGGGCAGACCTCTCTCTGCCCTCCCTTCGACATGCCCCTGTGTCACTCCTGGCCCCTGCCAGGGACATCCTGTGCCCCAGTGATGTCACCAGGCCCCGGGAGCTGAGGCCATAGCTGACAGGTTTATTTTTAAACTCTCCAGCCTCGGCCAGCTCCCCACCCCCACCCGTCCTCCCGCACCTCACCGCCTGCCTTGCTTCCCACGAGGCCCATCCCAGACCATGGCGCGCGGGCCGGGCGCTGTGCCTCACTGCACCTGGACTCAGGACGATTGGCAGCCGACCCTGGGGCCCACGGAGTGCAAGGGGCTTGCGCAGGGTCCCGCAGCCAGCCAGGGCTGGGGTCATGACACAGGCTGTGGACTCCTGCAGTTCCTGACTGGGCCTTGTTTGGGGCAGTCACCAAAGCTTGATTTGAGTTTTTTTTTTTATTTTTTGAGACAGAGTGTTGTTCTGTAGCCCAGGCTGGCCTCAAACTTGTGATCCTTCTGCCTCAGTTTCCTGAGTGCTAAGATTACAGGTGTGTGCCACCAGGATGGTTTGGGATTATTTTTTATTTATTTATGTATTTTGTCTTTTTGAGACAGGATCTCGCTATGCAGTTCAGGCTGGCTTGAGCTCACTTTGTAGCTCAGGCTGGTCCTGAACTCACAGGGATCCTCCTGCCTCAGCCTCCCGAGGGCTGGGATTACAGGCATGCACCACCATGCCCGGCTCTTATTTTGTACTTTGAGACAAGGTCTCACTAATTCCCTAAATTGCGCAGGTTGGGCTTGGACTTGGGACCATTCTGCTCAGCCTCCCGAGTGCTGGGATTACAGAGACGTATGACTCAAGACAGCGTCTTGCTATCTAGCCCTGGCTATGTGCCCAGTTCATAAACTCCATTTCTTGCCATTTCAGTTCAGTGCTGCACACAGGATAAGGGCAGAGACCTAGATGCAGACAGATCTCACTCTGAATCTCACCTGCGGCTCTGCAGCTGGTGACCTTACACAAGTCATTTTCTCTCCCTGCAAGGACAGGACACTCAGGGAGGGAACCCAGTTGGGTGGCTGGAAGGTGCCTGGGCAGGACTGAGCACCAGTACCGGGCTTGACATGCAGTCAGTGCTCAGCCAATGGCAGATTCTGTCATTATGTTCACGTCCTGCCAAAGGTCGCTGCCAGGCCGCTGCCTTGACCACCCATGTGACACAGGCCCTGCCCCCAAGTGGCCGAGAGTCCAGAGGTGGAGAGGGAGCTGAGGGAGACAGTGGCTAAGCCAGGAGGATCAAAGATCAAAAGTTTGAGCCCAGCCTGGGCAACTTAGGATAAGACTTTGTCAAAACAAAATAAAACTTTAAAAGAGGCTGGGCATGGAGCTCAGTGCTAAGATACTGGGTTCAATGCTTAGTACAAAAAAAAAAAAAAAAAGAGGCTGGGCCCCTGCAGCTTCTCCCTGTCATCCTTCACCCGATGGCAGTCATAGTCTGCAGCGACCTTGACTGGGTGGCAGCTGC